CCTCACACAGAAGTGGCAAAGTCCCATTGCTTCAGAGACAACTACAAACAGGAAAAAAAAAAAAAAAAAAAAAAAAAAAAAAAAAATTGCAAGAAACGTGAAGGTGTTTTGTTGGATTTTTTTCTCATTCTGAAGGAACAAAGCAGCAACAACAAATGATTTTGTGTAAAAAGAAACCTTTCTTCCAAGCAAAGTAAGGGACACAGAATCATAGAATGGTTTCAGTTAGAAAAGACCTTAAAGATCATTCAACTTTTTTTACATAGTGAGAAGCAGAAAAAATAGGAAAGACTGAGGGGCTCCACTCCATTTCCCCAATTTAAAATATTAGAGCAATTCCGACATCTCTGAGAAAATGGGTGACTTAAGTCCAAAACCTGTCAGGTAAAGGTAGAAAAGGACCTAAGATCTTCCAAGGCCTAATCTCTGTGTTGCTGAGTTGAGAGGCCAGGGCAGCTACATAGTCTGCATTATAAATTTTTAGTATCAATTTCTTTCATCAGAGAAAATTACTCATGAATATGACACAAATCAGTGTTTTTCAACAGGCTTTCTTCTAATGATATGTACACCCACCTATCATATCTGTGTAAATAACATTAGAAACATATGCTAATGAGACAATCATCCAGTTATAAATAATTTGTTATCTGAAACAATGTTGAATTTCTTCACAACAAGCAAGAATTATAAAATGCATCCAAGACTTATGGAGAGAATTGTGTGTTCATATTCCATGGTACTTCATGTATGACAAGTAATACCTGAGATCATTTCTAGATCTAATGCCACAGGGTAAAAGACACCCTTAATTTTATGCTGGTAGGCCATTATAAAACAAAATCAGAGATAGACTGATGTTCCAGATCCTGTTTTCAACTATCTCTTGATCTCACCAAGCATGGGTACAGATTTATAAACTTCTGTCAATGGGACTGCCCTCATGTTTTGATACTTTTACAGCTCCAAGAGAAGCCAGTTACCAAGGAACTTCCTAGTGAGATATGGAGTTTGAAAAAGGCTTCATGGATTTCAGGACAGAATCTAATTTTCCTATATAAGTAGTTGCTCTGCTGCAAAACCCAGAGAGGTCATCTTGTATTCCAGAATCATTATTGTTCACTTTATTGCCTAAATCAGGCATCAGCTTTTCTGTTCAACACCTAGATCCACAGAGCAAGGAAAGATGAAAGAGCAAGACTTAATCTCATTGTGTCTTGTCTGTGGTTAATTTAGAGGAATACGTTTGAAAGGAGAAAGCAAGCACCAAACTACACTGGAAACAGAAGCATTGATGTGCACTGAAGAGTAATGTGAAGGGAGAGCAGTAAATTAGATATTCTAGCACCTAGTTTTAAACTTTCATTTCTGAAGTTTTGGACCAGGCCTGCTCTCCTAGTTCCTGTTGCACATTTCTACCATGCATGCAAAGGAAAACAAACCCATCAGCTATGCCTAACCTAAAAGACACAAGAACACTGCTGTGCCCCCAGTTCAATTTGCAGAGCTGAGATTTTACAGATAAGAAGAGGACAGTCCTCCAACTACAGGTACCAGAAAAACAAACAACACTCAAAGCCCAGGTCATTTCCTCTGGGAAGTTTCTTTTCAAAGCAGATGTATTTAACTAAAGTGATTTCCTCCTAATTTCCTTTGAATTTCCGATAAGTCTGGCAGAGAGTTCTCCTATTTGAAGCAGAATGCTCACAAGACTGCACAAATAATGAGAATAATAATTATTGCGCCAATAATGGGAACAAAGTTTATTTCTACCTCCCTTTGTCCCACTGAGTTTCTGGCCAGGTTCTCTAATACAGTTTGAAGGTTGTAATAACACAAGCAACCAGCATCTTTCCAGAGTGGACAAATTAACTGATTGAAATCCCTGCTGATGTCATGACTCAATATATGCAATTCTATTCTAACTGGACATTATGCTTTCCAAAATAACATCTAGGTAGGTACAGAAGTTCCAGGTTCTATGTTGTTATATTCATTTGCAGAGGCATCGACAAATTTTGAGCCAGTGTTACTTTGCTATCATGTTATATTGGGGAATTGGAAAAATGGAAAACAGCCTCTACTAAACTTGGTGATTCATTTAAACAAGCTTTGTTTCAGTAAAGCAAAATTTGTACCAGTCTACATCCCAATTACCCCAGACAAATCTGCCATGATTTGTAATTACATTATTATTTTAAATTAATCCATGCATGAATTACAGTTGTCTTTTGTTTATTCACTTGTTTAGGCTGGTCTAAAAAATGAGCAAAGCTTTCAACCATTTATAATAAAGGCAAAATGACCAAAAAGACCTACTTTTTTTTTTAGTTTGCATTAATGAGTTCATCCCAAAATATATATGCAATAATAGAGGAAATTAAGTTATAAATGTAGGGATGTGCTCCAAGACACCATGAAAATCTGCATGCAAATGCATAATAATCACAAATCTACATTATTACAATATTAAAAAATACCTACAATTAAATTATCATGTGGAAATAATCATAATGTTATTGGAAACTCAATTATTGTGGCAACCCTTGTCGGAGAATTAGCAGGCTATGGCAAAGGCAAGTCAGACCTGAATTCATCAAATATATATTATCACAATATTACATGTTCACTTCGATTCCATGCAAAGACAAACATCCTCACTCACTAGTATCTGCTCAATGCATTTGTATTATTCATGAACAACTCTGTGATCTATTATACATACAAAACTGATTGTACGCTGCTTGCCTGAGGCTACAATGCAGAGACACAGAATTAATTTTATTATATACACATGCATGATAATTGTGTAGAATTCAGTCAAATATCAAACTCTGCTCCTGTGCTCCATTATTTTACTTTCCAAAAAGAGGTCTAAGGTCAGCAGCAATTTCTCTTTGGTGACAGTGAAACTCTTTGTCATTTAGAGTAGAAAGTTCCTGGGTACTAACGAGCCTGGTGCTGTGATGAATGGTCACACATTCCCTTTCCTTTCCAACCCCCACTCATCAAAGGGAAAATGTAACTTTTATTGAGATTCTCAAGAATTTCTTGCTTCTCATACACACAGAAGTCACTTTGGGCTGAGGACTTAGAGACTTCATTTGTCAAAGATGGAGGCAACTTTTTCATTTGTTTTGTAGACTTGGCTAAAATTGTGTGAGAAGATGATCAATACAATTAGGGAAACTTATTTGCAGCTGTAAGAACCTCTGTTATTTTCAAGACATTTAAGATAAAAACCCCTAAAATGTTTTCACAGAACTCTCTCCCCTGCTTCAAGTTTTCACTAAACTAAAAAAAAAGCCCAAAACCAACTAATTCCCTTTTCTTTAATAGCACAAAGGACTTATGGGAAGGCCTCTAAATATAGAAAAGCCAGAGAGACAATGATTAGTGCCATACAAGACATTTGTAGTTGTTTGAAGATACCAGGAGGTAGAAATGCATCAAAATTAAGAAGGAACATGAACAAGGCATACCTCAAAGTCCTGGCACACATTCAAATGACGTTGAAGATCAGCAGGACACTCAACTTCAATATATTACAATTGAGGAGGCAGCCAGGTTTAAGGAATTAAGTTGTATGTATAAATTTTGGCAACAATATCTATTGTCATTTAAATTCAGAGATGGGGATCAATTCGTACATTGCACAAAGAACCATTAGCACGCATCTAGCCTAATGATCTAAAAGAGCTTTTTCAGGAGTGGGAAGAAGTAAAAGGTTATCCTTAACTGAGAAAAGAAACTGTCCAGTGTGAGATTCTGCATGCTGAATTAAAAATCAAACCCTGAAACCTCTCTTGTAGTTCTACTCCTCCATTCACCAGCCAGGTTTTGGCTATCACACTCTGAATCCCTGAGTTTTAAAACTGAGGAACTCTTATTCCTTGCCGAGGACATTTGGAGTACAGTCCCATTCAAGCATATCCCAAACCCATCTTTGCATTACTGCACTGCTTTCAACAGCCACAAGCAAAAGGGCCTCTCCAATGCATTTATATTCTAGATTCTTAACATTTGTAAAATTAAACTGTAACAAGAATTCTAAAGCATCTCTCCTAGTCTACTCATCATCCAGGAAGGATTTAAACATCCTCACCTTTAAATTTATGTTTTGTATGCTTATGTCATGACCAGAGTCCATGACATTCACAGTCCCAAGAACAATGCAGGGTGATCTGCATTTAGCAGTACACGGCTCATAAATTTACCACAACATCACTAATTCACTATAAATCCATAAAATTTCCACTGCTCCAATAAAAAAAATGTGATTGACACATAGGAAAACCTCAGGAAGGAGAAACTGAACAAATCCCTTGCATAGCTACATCACAAAAGTTAATAAGTGAACGTGTTAGGGTGAGCTGTTTATCTTGGCTGTTATCATGGCCATCAACAAGAGAAACAGCAAAAACACAGTTCTGACCAGTCTCCAGGGCAGCAGTTTAGCTGACTGAAATGCTCGAGATGCAGAAGAAAAGCACTTGTGTAAAAGAGCATCTCAGTAATGCATTTTGTCACTCAAGTGTATTATAACTCCATATTGTTCTTGAATATTTGACTTTAGGTCGGCAGAAGCTACAACTTTTTTAGTGTTAGCAACTATTACAAGAGGGTTGACAGCTTTTAAATATTCCACTCTTTGACAGAATACCCATGATTATTTTCTGCCATTTCAGAAACAGGTGAGCAGCAGGACCTTACAGCTCAGGCAGCATAATCTACCTTCCACCTTTGCCGTAAAAGTGCACGAGTTGTTGGTTGCAGGGAAGATTTCTCCCAGAGATCATTAGTTTGGCAGGCTCTGGAAGTCAGTAAAGATAATGGGGAGAAAGGCCATACTGAAACCACTAATTTTGTCATCATTACCCCACTTCCTGTGAGGGTCAAGAGTTGAGTTCAGATAAAAATACAAACTTTGAGAAATTTCATTGGAACTCACAGAAATCACTAAAGCTCTTAAGAACATCAAATTAAGAGATCAAACAATATGAGAGGAAACACTTTTATTCAACCTGAGACTATTGCTCAGTTTGATATGCCTGAAAACACCTCCAAGATTTACCCATGGCATTCTGGAACTTTCTCATTGGCCTTCAACACTCAAAATACACTAAAACATAGAAGGAAAAACCCCCATAGCTGTTAAGCCACATATCCCAAGCTTCTAAAATAAACTCATTTTAAAAATCGTATTGCCTTTAACTGTTTTGTCGAACTCCACTTATTAGTAACCACATTAGAAGCACTGGCTGAGAAGCAAATTCTTGCAAAGACTGGAGTTATTTCCTCAGTTAATATTTATTTTGCATGTATCCATAGAAATACTACATGGAAAGCGTGTGGCACAAATGGAATAACTCTTGGCTTCATTTTCCTGCCAGATATCAGACAGCATTGCTCATGCACAAATCCTTTGGTATTTAATATTCATAATGCAGAAGCATCTGCTGATCCCAGTTAGGATCAAGAAATTTTATGAGATGTTGTACAAAACAAAGATTATCACTGTTCTGCCACAAAGAATTTATAGTTGGACAGATTGTCATACTAACTATTTCTGCATTAGTTGTTATGTGGAAAGTATTTTTAATCTTAGTCTAGTCACTCCTTAATGCAAATATGACACAATAGGTGGCTCTATGCAGTAATGTAGGGCACTCTTGCAGCAACTGCAGAACAGTCAAAAAGAAAAGTTGGCTAACTTTTCATTTTGACTGTCTTCCTAATGACATTTGGATTCAAAATGCAGCAATATTTTTGAGATGCGACCCTTCACCAGTACTTCTTTCCCCAAACGAGGTGACATCATAGTGATTTGCTTGTGCTTGGTTCACATAGCACTTACTCTTAACAAAGACAAAAAGGCTTTTCTAGTTCAAGAAGTATGGGGGGAAAGATATTAATCTTAACATAGCTCTCTTGGCCATGACCAACCCCTTGAATCCTTCTTGAGAGGCACATGAAGAAAGAACAGGTTACCTTTGAGGCAAGTTTAGTATTTAAGCATTCTTTAGGAAATATGCATTGCTGAGAGAGAACAGCTTTCCCAAAGGCTGAGCAGAGAGCGAGATGGGATCAGAGCTCAGGAGTAATGTTTCTCAGTCACATGCAACCACCAGCTCTCTTCTGTAGCCCACTAAAGGCCTCTGGCAACCTGAATTCCCCAAATGAGGCAGTAGAGGATGCTCCTTCAAATATCTCCTTGATGCCAAGGATGTTTCTATGGCAATTCTGCATTCAAAGTTACTGGTTTGTGTTGCATGAGAGACTGCACAAGGGCCCAAGGAAATGAATGAACCTATCTAAGGTTGTGCATACCCAGGGGGCTTCCATAATTTTTGGGTGTGCAGAAACACAAAGATGGAATAATGACAATGTTGTGCTGCACTTCATTTGTTGAATTACTTCAATACCTTGCTCACAGATGTGTGCATGTGAGTCTAATCAACCAAACTCCTCGTAGACAGCAGAGATTATTTTGAGAGATTATTCTTGCTTCTGCTACAAAAAAAGAAGCATCAGCCTTTCATAACTTCTTGAATACAGGGAGGTGTGTGTACATGCATACACCAACATGCACATACCCCTCCCTGTATATGTATCACAAAAAAAAGTGAGAATAAAATTTTTCCTCTATGTAGCACATTATTTTTATAAATGTAGGAGGATTAAAAGCAGAACTGTCTTTTTATGAAGAAAAACCCCACACTAAAACCTGTTTGTTCATCTACATAATCAATTATATTAAAAAAAAAAAAAAGAAAAAAAAGAAAAACAACAGGGGGAAAATAAAACTAGCTTGATCAGAAATAAATATCTGAAAAAATGTGATTTTTCTATATCCCTTGAAATCCTAGAATAGGAAAATTTTCTGTAGCTTTTCTTCTTGAATCATATTTTGCTTCCAATTGTAAAACAGCATATTCAACTATTCAATTTGTTGTTCAATAATAGTGACTCAAATTGCCTTTTAAATGCATACAAAAAAGTTGCATCTTTTTGTTTTCATTTTCTCTCCGTGTTTGTTGCATACTGACATCAAATTCCCTGCAGGCATCCTAACCTTGCAATTGGAGAAACAGCGCTCCAGGGTTTTCCACATGTCTAATACACCTGGATAAAAAGTGCTAATTGTCACCAACTTCCATTAAATGACAGCAGTAAGGCACAAAATATGCTTGATTTGCAGATGTTAGTGCCACTGGGAATTAGCAGCAGATTAGTAATTGTGCAGACCTTGAACATTCCCCTGGCACTGCCAGCATGGGTTTCCAGTGCAACGTCAGACTACAAGGTCCTTGTTTTTACATTACTTTCCTGAGGAAATCAGGCTTAGGCATTTGCACTCTTTCCCTGTGTGTGTATGGCTGTCCTACCTTCCCACAATAATTTCTGATTAATCTTAATTAATTTTTAAAGGAAAGTAGAAGTTGCAAACATACAGTGTCCTTAGGCAAATATAATCAAGCCTGAGCCTAAGTGTTTCAAATATCCTGACTTTTTAAATTCAGGTATTCTTGCAGACAAATAAACCCTAATTCTGTTCAAATTTTGTTGGCTCTGAAAGTAGAAGGGAGATGTGCCATATCACATATCCAGCAGGCAGCAGCCTTGCATCCAGCCACCTTTATGGGTCAGGCGACAGACTAAGTTCTCAGTGTGTGGTGATTTTTTCTTTTTATAAACCTATCTGTCAAAAAATTCCTTTTTCACCTTGAGGCTTGGAATGGGCATCAGGAGTCAGCTTCTTGCACAGGTTCACCCTTGCTCTTTTTTCCTCCAGATAAATTCAGACCAACGCTATACCTTCTCTGTTCTCTTCTCGGTCTGTTGCTGCTGTTTCCTCTCCGCTGGGCACACACCAGGACACCGCCCCTGTGGCATGCAAGCTTACTGGCAGCTCGGGTGGCATTGCAAAGCTCATTTCTGCAGGCAGCAACATGATTACGGCGAAGGTGAGGGCGAGGTTGAGCAAATGTGCTTCAACACTTCTTTCTTTGTATTTATCACTGTGCCATAGCATTCCTGCAGCCTGGCCTGCTGCTGCTCCAGCTGCCTGTGCAAACTCCTGATGGAGCGCAACAGCAGGAGCCGTCGGTACATTGCTAGCTGGAGCCGGTACTTCTCCTTTTCCTCCTTTTTCTTATTTTCTAAGGTCTCCATTACTGTTGTGGTCTTCCTCCAAGTCACACGTCCCAAACTGCAAGAGGCCATGCTGCTCTCAGTGCCGCTCCCTGCCTGCTGTGTGTCAGTCCCTGCCTGCAGGGCCTCGCTGGCCTCACCGGGCACCCTCGGGACCTGCAGCACCTCTGAACTCAATTTGCCATCACAGCAGGGGCTTTTGGCATGCAGGGAGGCAAGGTCCACAGGCAGCAGGTTATCAACTGCTGCAGGGCATGAGGAGGCACCTAAGGATGCATCTACAGCTGTCAGAGGATGCTCAGCCAGCCCAGGGGCTGTCCTCTGTGCCTGGACACCACTAACCATCTCTGGGCCAGTCAGGACTTTTAGCTGGGCCACTGCCCTGCTGGAGAGGACAGACAGTCTTTCTGGCACTGCTGAGCTTCCCTTGTCTTCCTCAGGGCTGTCTAGCGATGCACTGGCAGAGCAACCAGGGGATGCTGTTACAGCAACTTGAGTCGGAAGTCTGTCTTCATCGTCACTGCTGTTTTGGATCTCCTCTTCATCTCTTGATATTACAGCGGCTCTCTCAGCCATTTAATGCATTATCTACAGAAACTTTCTGTGGACAAAGTGGAAGTAAAAAGATTTTATTTTCACATACACACACGGAGAAGCCCAGTGCAGAGTGACATTTGAAGAAAGAACCTCTTTTTATATTTAAGCAATGGACCTATTTCTTTTCTAATAAAGCACAACCCTTGGGTCACTTCAGGCCATTTCTTGTGATTTGCATTAGATGTTCTTCGAGACACAACATTAATCCAATAATAATTAAAATGATATACTGTACTATTAACATTCTCAAATCTTTAAAGGCAAGTGATCTATCCCTGCAGCACTGGCTGTGCTGACTAATTAAGCAGAATACAGTTGTAAATGGGCATTGTAAGCACTTCTCCCATTTAAGAACACACCTCTAACAAGTGTAGTTTGTAGAGATGGGCGAGTTATCAGGACTGATCAGCTTTAAAGGGAGCTGGAGGTACCACAAACAGCAGGTTGCATTCAAATGCCCAAGATTAATCTGTCTGCTACCAGTTTGTTTACAAGGCAGCCTTTCCCCCTCCTATTAATTCTAACAGTAAAGCTATATTAGCACCACACTAGCCAAAGAAAGGAAAGAGAAACCAAACACTTACCGAGGTCACTGGGGGGAAGGAAAAGAGTTACACTGCATTGTGTCTGTGTATCATATTTTCTTGAATGTGAGTCAGCACAATGTGGAACAGAAACATCACAGTGCTGGAGCAGGAGCAGCAGCAGCATTACACTGTTCCACCCAGCAACAGCACAGTCAGTCCCAATCACAGAGGAGTGCAGGGTTGCTTTCTTCCTCCTCAGTGGGCATTCCTCCCTGGCGTGCAGATTTTATGTCATCTTTGAGCATCAAAATGAGTACCAGGATTGGATGGCACTTTTTTCCCACCTCAAAACCGAACATACATGATTCATTCACCCATTCTACAGGGGGCAATACCTGTGGCCGTTCCCATCCCTGATAGTCAGCAAGGAGTAGCGCAGCATGAAAAAAGGATGAGGTATTCTGGACTCCGAGTGTGCGTGTTTTCCTTCAGAAAAAAACAAGCTTAGATAAACTTCAGTTGCATGAACAAGCTAAACCTAAAAATAAAGTAAGCATTTAGCACCAACCAAATGCTAAACATGAAGACAGGCAGAAGTAGTAGATTGAAGTGGTTTTAATGCACACCCATGTTTAATGAGGCTGGCCTAATCTTTAAAGAGCAGCACTACATCCAACTAAACAACCCCACAAAACAATAAACTTTATCTGTACTTCTGATGTTGAGAAAAGCTACCTTCAGCATCATCTCTTGTTGTAGTGCCAGGAACAAAATTCACAAATTATCTACCTGCATCTGCTTCAATCAATTTACCATAGGGCTTCAGTTGCCCTAAGACTTTCTCTACTCCATTCTCTAATATAAATAGAAGAAAGAAGCAATCCAAAATACTATCTAAAATCTTCCAGCAGTTGGAAAAGAATGAAAGTAGATCCTATCTCCACTTCTACGTGTGCTGCAACACACTAGCCTTCTTTCTAATGAATCTGCTAGGATACACTTACAAACTTGAACACACAAAGCCTGGTTAATATTAATTCAGATTTGTACCTTGAGATATAACTTAAATGCATTTTTTGGTGCAAGATATAATTTGCACTGAATTTCTAAAATAGACTAAACCTGCTGTGTTTATGTGCCAAATCATGCTGCCGATTTTATAAATAATGTAAGATAGAGATTAATATCCAGTGAGTTAATATACAGTGCAAGTTTATATCGTGGTGATTCCCATTTATCTGAATCACAGGCTACAGTAATTGAAGAATATGGAATGCAGATAACGGGGATTTTACTGTATTAACACATTGAAAAGGTTCATTGTAATACAGCATTATGTAGAGAGTCCTATAGCATTCTTTTCCTGACTTCCACCTCTATAGAAATTTGCTGCAAATAAGTATTTTCTAATAGTCTAACAAGGCATAAAACCAGAATTTTGGTTTCCAGGGTGTTTTTTGTCATTTTAGTTGTTTGTTTGTGGGTCCTGGGGTTTTTTGTTTGTTTGTTATTTCTCTGCTGCTTTATTTTTTTCAGCAAAATTTTAGTCAGTACTCTTTAAAGAGATAGGCAGGGGCCCAAAAAGGTCATTTTGCACACTAAATTAGTGTCACCAAAAATAATAACAAATTATTTTTATTTGTGGATCTGAATGGAATAAACGGCATCTGATACAAGCAATTTAACAATAAAACTGCAGTCAAAACTCATTGAGATAGCTTTTCATAGAATATTATAACTTCAGCTGTAATCTATGAAGCTTAATAGCAAAAAAATATTCAGTCTATTAGACTTCGAGAATCAGCAAAGTATAAAGACTATAAAAAATACATATTTATTATTGCTAAAATACAGGTTCTTTTTATGGTAAGGGCTGCATGTATGTTTCTGTTGTTACCCCTCCCTCTGTTCACAACTTCATAAAATCTCAGCTAAAGGACCAGATGGAAATGTTCTAGCCTCAGTTTCTCCCTAAAGGTGAATACATACTAAACACTTCAGCCAAAAAATAGAGATACTCCAGTACAAAACGGGGAACAAATCCAGTCTTACTACTGGGAAGACTTAAGGAAACCTTTCAGGAGAAAGGTCTCTTGTGTAACCAACAGACTGGAGAACAGGGAACGAGACCACACCTCATTTCAATGGAAACATGTAAATGCTTGTTCTGAGATGACACAATCCTATTCACCTAAGTCTGTTACCTGATGAAGTGGCTCCTAGAGTTTATCTCCCTTTTATTTGCAATTTGACAGATAAATAGTGACCTGAAAAGGCCTTATGTTGGTTTCTTCTTCAAAACTCACGTCGTGCTATTTCTCTAATGAAGAAATGGGAGAGTTTGCTGCTCCTCCAAAGAACTTGTCTCAGGCAGATTCTTCTCAATACCATTTGCTCACCTTTCACACTTGTTTTTCTGTTTGCGGGAACCTGCTTCAGAAGCTGCTTCAGATTTCGGTGAACATTTAGGTCAGACCAACACACTGAGAATTTCAGGCAAGTAAAACGAAAGCCAAGATGCTTTTCATTGAGGTTGAGGTTCATTGCCTTTCATTACCACCCACTCACAGGCTGATGCAACTGCAGCAGTTTCAAGGTGTCAATAGACCCTGGGGAGCCACCTCCAAGCTGTCAGTCTTGCATGGCCCTGAGAGATCTATGTCAGCAGAGGTTTTTAATCCATCACACTCGTTCAGGTAATAGCTACAAGAGGAGCTGAGCAGCCTGCAGGCTCATAAATGTAAGCACGTGCTGCAAGTCTCCGTGCTTGCAGGGTTATGGAGTGAGTGCTGAGCCATCACAGCTGGGTCTTGTGTGCTAGCAGAGAACGCCTGGTCACAGGGGAGTCCCTGCAGATAGCCAAGACAAGTATGTATATTTCTCTTCCAAGTATGATGCCATTCTCAAACATGGACAGATATGAGGACAGGAAGATGCATGCACTTTTTATTTCATTAAGTACAAATATATTACTGAATTTCAAAGCATAAAAACACATTTACAAAAAGCATTAAAGGTGAGATAAGCATTGGTGAAGATAGGCCATTAAAAGACCAAGGCCTGGGATGTTACATTGTTTTGTATTACAGTTTGATGAGTATTTTTAACAAAGTATTAAAAAATATCCTATTACACAGTAGTGTAATTTCATATTTTATATTAATTTATCTTAAAGATCAAAAGCTATATTTTATCTGTTAATGTATACACTCGCATGGCCTTCTATGAACTCAGTGAGATCCATATGTGTGCATCTGAGGCCTAAATTTTTCCCCAAAGATTCTTTAAAATCCTTTTACAGGGCAGTAAGGTGTGGAAGAAAGTCCTATATTCCCTTTCTTCTGCCTTCATACCCAAAACAGGCAGGAGTTAATACAGGCTTCTCTGCACAGCACAAGATGGTAACATTATCCCAAGGTGCCAGTGGCTACCCAGGGATTGCCACCATTCTGCTCTCACACTCATCTCATCCGCACCCAGGAGTTTCTCCACTCCTAAAAACAGAGAAATAAGAAATAGAGACCACTGATGATATCAAGAAGTGCTGTAGGTATTTCAGGGGCAGGGAAAAGCACTGCAGGACATGTCCATGGCTTTCAGACAGAAGGAAATTAGAAATATGTTCAGAGCTGCAGCCCAATTGTGTGTTCTGGAAACATTTAAGAAAAGTAGAGAGAATACATGATTTTACAAGAAAGGTTCAATGGCTCTAAACACAAAAATACAGGCATTTGAGCAGACTGTCTTTATATAATGGGTAAAAGACATTGAAACAGTCTGCCACAACTGGTAAAAATTAGCAGGCTTGCTGCCAGTATCAACAGAGCTGCATGTCAGAGGCACAAATCTCTAAGGGAGCATGCTCACAATGCATTTAGTCTGAGTTTGAGTTGTGTTTGCAAGCTTCAAAGTCTTAAGACTGCAGATATCAAAGTGACCCAAACACTAGGAAGGGCTTGATGACAACTCTCACTACAATATTTCAACAAGTCTACCCCAAACTATGCTTGGGCTTAGCTATTCCCAGGTACATAAAATGAAAAATACATTTATATGGCTTTATAAAGATATTTTAGAAGTGAAATATTTTGATTTTTCCCCAAGACAGCAGCTATTCTCCCTATCATCTAGGTGGAAAGCATTAGTTTATGATTTCAATCACCACTCACCAAGTGAAAGAATAACAGCATCACTGCCCAAACCAGTACAAGCCTGCATTCCTGCCACCAGATCCACAGAGTTGTACTTTTATGCTGAACCAGCCACAAAGGACTTCCCAAAGTCTTGTTGTAAACTCAGGGATCTACTTCCTGCACAACGAGCAGCTGAAGGTTGCCACAGAAGCCAAGATGGGAATGCACAACACATGGGTACAAAAATCTGGGATTTAGCTTTATTTTTCTCCCAGACCCACCTGACATGAAAAGGGCCAAACAGACTGCAGAAGAAGCACTTTAAATATAGTTCTTAAAAATTCCATCACATTTCAGTGTGAAGGAAACCTCACATGTCTAGAGTGGGTTAAGAATGATTTGCAACAAGGACATCTGCAGTGTGTACCCTACAAATTAGTGGGGGAACAAATAGAAATATTTATAGTGACTTAAAAAACCCTAAGAACTGCCAGTTTATCCCATTTACTTTTTCTGTTTCTAATGGAGAGTTTATACTTGTCTATAATTAATTTTCATACAAAAAAGGAAAATCAAATTATACACTGAAAAAAATTATGAATTGCAAAAAAATAATTTTCCCTACCTGTTAAGTGAAAAGGAAATTCTAAAGTATCAAAGGTTTCATTATTATTTTCCCATAATAAAGAAAAGACTTTGTTTCATGGTAGCAAAATTTAAAGTAATTACAGTGTGATGGTCCTGCACATATTTTTTTAAATGGTGCTTTTGTAGAATACCCATCATTTTGTTCAGGAAAAAATAAAGTGAGGGAGAGGGAGAGAAGAAAATGCAAAATAATTTAAAGTAGAAGATTGTGTAACCTGAGATTGCAGTCTTCCTATGGAGAAGAGACTAAAAAATTGATCCTGCAGAAAAGATGGTGCTCAAAATATTTTGAATAGCCTCCAGTATTAAAAGATTTAAACGTATTGCTCCTATACTGCAAGAACTCCATGCCTGGCAGGTAAATACTGGATTACCCAACCTAGCTGTTAGATTTCAGATGTGAAAATGAGAGTGTAGACAACTCATGTGCCTAGTTACTGTTCATATCCGGTATGAATTGAGAAAAATCCTTTCTTGTAATGAATATGTAAACTGACTCTGTAATTTT